GAAATAAGTGTTGCTGCAAAAATTTTCATGCTATTAAAGCCATATTGTTATAGGGGGAAACAAATATTATATTGTAGGGAAAATTCTTAGGTCATGTCATAGATACAATCAATTATGGGGTCCATCATTTTTAAAATAAAAGAATTGATGTACTCACTTTTGTGTCTATAGAAAAACTCTTTGTGTCATGTGAAAGGAAAAAAATATTACCCATTGTTATATTGTAAAATTTGCTCCATGACGAAAATTTCTTAGGTGCAGCGAAAGTATCCAAACGAATATTCTTTTTTTTTTAAAGTGGAAAATTTTCTTTTTTTGAATTCAATTTTCAATTTCTATTTTTATTTAAATTCCAAAAAAATTTAATTTTTTAGATAGAACATAAGTACAACCGTTGCACCCAAGATTTGTTTCTCCATAAAACCAAGAAAAATTTCAGTAGTCCCAAACCACCATTTACTCAGTTGTCTGGACCAATCAAAATCATACAACTAATAAAGAAAGAGGAGAGAAAAAAAATAAAAAAATAAATTTTTGTCCCAATATCACATCTTGAATGAAAGGATCACATGAGACGTATAGCACCAAAAAATATTCCCATGAAACTGCTTCTTTTCCTCACAACGTCTCACTTGTCACACCCCACCTATTTTTCCTTTTTACATACGGTGGAAACCACCACATTTCAGTATTTCACCTCCTGCCAACTTCCTTGAGATCTGATCATCTTTAAATTAACAAAATCTTCTAAGTCAGCCTAGACAACAAGAACCATTCCCCCTATCAAACACCCGCTAGCAATCCATATGTCTTTCTGAAAATAAAATTTATGACGTAAGTTCTATTATCACTTGTTAGATTGAATTCTTACCACTAATTAAAATCTATATCATTAGGCCTAATGATAATCCCTTAATCGAACAGAAGAAGAGTTGATCATGCCCATCCATTGTGTTATTCAAATGTCCATGTTCTTAGCCTCTTGACAAGTGCAAGCCAATCAATTAGGAGATATTAATTGATCGAACAGTCTACTGGACCTAATCTGACCTACGTTAGGCCTTAAGTAGCTTTGTATATTTGTACCCAAAAAAAAAAAGTAGCTTTGTATATAAAGTAAAATAGAATAAATTTTTTTTAAAAAGCTTTATTTATAAAATTATATGCAAACTTTATGTAAAATTATTAAATTTAAATAAAAATAAAATAAAATTTTAAATAATAAAATAATTTAATTTAATTATATTTTTAGTTCTTAATAGGCTTAAAAAGCCTAATAAGTTAATGGGTCATATTAAATCTTTTATTTGTTAAAAATACATCAAGCTAAGGCTATAATTTGATTTACATTAAATTAATGGAGAAATTTATATTTACTACTATTTTAGGTTTATTACTCTTACTACTTGATTGGTTCTCGTTTGATCAATTTGAAATCAATGTTAATTAATTTTTTTTCATTTTTTAATCGTTGATTTCAAATTTATCCAAAAGTAACCAATCAGGTAATAAGAATAATAAGTTTAAAATGAATCAAATGATAGTAAGTTCCCTTAATTAGTAGGCTACGCTTAAAATATTTTATATTCATCTGACTTACCAATACCTAATTTGTTTACATAACAATCAAGTAATAAAGTGAAAATAAAAATATACATTCAATAATTCCTAAGTCTAGAACCAATTGACGTGATATACTATTATTTGAACTTCGAGATTTAAATTAAAGAAAAATATAAAACACGATCAAATAATAGAATCAAAGGAAAACAATTTAAATGAGGAATTCACGATTAAACATGACATGATTTTTAATTTTTTTTTTATAAAATGCAAGACTCAAGAGGATGAATATTAAGATATTGATTTTATCTAACTACTTTAAACTCAACTCAAGTTCTAATTCAATATTTGATAGTAGAATTTCTATAGTTAATCAATTCCTAACCGTTTAGCAAATTGATATTTTTTTCTCTTTTGAAATTATTAATTCCTTAGTGAATCCATTATTCCGTCCACACATCACTCGTCTACCTAATTCTGAATTTGGATCAAGATTTGCGATCCAAAACCACATCATATTTTCAAATTCAGTCTCCCAACCCCACTTTTGTTACCGAAAAGGACATATACCGACATATGCAACGAAACCCTCCTATATGGAAAATCTTCCTTCTGTTCACCATGAAAATTGACTTTTTTTGCCGCTATTTTTTTTTTTTTTGTGTGTGTGTATGTTGAAACTTGAAAGTTTAGGCTGAGAGAAAAATATCTCTATTTCAAGACCAGACTAAATTATTAACATTTAGAGTTGAAAGTGAGAATATAAAATGTTTATCAAAAGAAGGCTCTTATATTCAAATTTAAGTCATAAAGTTATCTTGAATGCAAAATTGATTAGGTAAGCAAACTCCTATATAATCATTTTTTTTATCATAACCAAAAGCAAAGGTTTAAATTTCAAAATTTCATCTCGGTAGTTAAATATAACTTGTTGAATATTGTCTTTGGCACCAACCACCGTATAGAATAAGGCTTAAAAAGTTATTCTTTTGACCAAAATGGCTCGTATTAATTCATTTTACCTACTTGCTTTCCATTTGTCCCATGCAATTAAGGAAAATCCATCATTTCCGCTTCTTCTTCTTCTTTTTCTTTTTGAATACTATAGTCTTGGATTCTCAACTGAGTACATTGTACCAGTAATCTCTATACTTTAATCAAACAATTGATCAAACTACGGACAACAGATTTATGTTTACGAAAGTACCACTCTTACCCCATTTTTTAGAGGTGCAAAATTGTAAATTACGTCATGGTAACTTAGTTTGAATGTTGCTGGTTAACGTGCACTTTTAATTTATTTCCTATGGTATTTTCGATTAATAATGATGAAGACTTTATGATCAATACACTGCTTTTTACGTAAAAAATTTATCATTTTAGTTTCCCCACAGAAACTAAACACGTGTGCTCACTCAGGGACTAATCCCACTTATGAAAGAAGTGTGTACGTTCAGGACTTCTTCAATATACAAAAGGTTTTGAAGGGAAATGGAAGAAGATAAATTTTTCACTTAAAGTAAATATTTTCTAATTTAAGACTTTTCTAATAAAAAATAAAATAATAAATTATCATAGAACCTTCCCATCATACCCCTTGCTTATTTTTGCAGCACACTATATATACCTCTCTTATTTGAAAATGACCAATTTTATCCTCTATTTCCTTTCACTCCAAAACCATCAATCCAAACTTTCCCTGAATAAGGGTGCGAGAAGAAGGGTACAAGAATTATTTATTAAATCTTATCTCTAATGTCTAATGATGAGTGGTGTTAGATTGATTATAATTAGGAAAAGATAATATAATTTGAATACATAGCCGCTGTAGTAAGGAAAAAAATCATCGGGAGTATAAGGGACAGAGTTGAATAGTTGGACGTACGGCTGCTGAAGAAAAGGAGAGAGAAGCGTAAGAGAAAAAACGTAACATATAATGGAGTGGAGGGGGGAATAATATAAATGAGAACACATGCACGGTTGGAATCTAGCTTGACGAGAGATGATGGAGTCAACAATGGGCAAATACGAATTAATAAATGATTATGGAGTATGCACTAAGCATTGTTTGTCTTGTTTTGGTCAGTTGCACTTTGGTAGACTCCGCAGTCAAACTTGCCAAAAAGTACAACTAAATGAAGTTATGCATTAATGGCCTTACGTAGCCTTGAATACAGGATTGAGGTGGAGGAGGCTGAAAAATTTCTTAATAAAATTCATCACCGGCCTTTTTTTTTTTTTTTTTTGAAATATTTCAGTCGATTCAGTGTTTCGCAACTAATTTGATTCGGAATGAGTTCAAAATTAAGACTTTAAATTTCTTCCAAAAGTAATACTAAAAGATTCGAATATATGTTCTCATTCACCTCTGCTTAGTTTAGATAAATTAACTAAGCTACCACCATTTGATCACGTGATTTTCTTTCTTGCATCGGTATTATCGATATATATATATCTTCTTGGTGGTTGGCCTTTTTCTTTTGAAGCAGCGGAGGCAAAAGTCATAATGACGCATACACATAACGGTATAGCTAGGAACATATATTCTTTTCTATTAAGTTTCTTTTTAATTGATAAGGAAATGCGTTAACTGAAAAACATTCATTTGTGTCACGTAGGGTTGTCTGTTTGGGAGTGTACCCATGCCCCATTTCTACGTTACCACCATTCATGGAATGATGGATATGGTTAACTAAACAGTGTGCGCTACGGTCTACATATGTAATGGATGGTGCCACTGCCTGCCTGCTGTTTCTATTCTAAACTTTGTCTTCATTCATGCTTCGCTACTTTCCCTTTAAACATCTCTAAATTAACCACGTGTATAAGAAAAGATAGTATAAATATGTTTGTTGTGACGTTAAAATTGTCTCATCACTTCCTCTGCCATTACTATTGCTTTAAAATGGTCACCACATTACTATTGCTTTAAAATTGTTATTGTCAAACTCTATAAATAAGAGTTAAAGTAAATATATATAATACTTACTCTCTTTTATTATATATAATACTTACTCTCTTTTATTAATTGTTATTGTGCATATATCCTATATCTTAGCTACACTATTTTATTATTGTGCATGGTAATTCGCTAATCTCAACGATATTTCCTCCAAACTTAGATCCTAAGTAAGTTTATCAACCTTAGATTGGATATATCGATCCACCTAGGATCGAACAGATTTCCTTTGACGCGTTGCCATCACTTTCCACTTAAAAGTTAAAAGTGGGGTCCAATTCCTTCTTCTAATCTACACCAAACCACGAACAACTCCCTCGTGGTCTCTTTGTTATTATTAGCGTCGTGCATATTATTCAACGACTCCAAAGGAGCGAATTGTTTAACTACTGTTAAATAATTACTGCTGTACATTATTCATTTAGTACTAGGTAATTAAAGATTATAAAGTGTGAAAAAGGAATTAATAAATGCTCCATTTTATTGATATAATAATCATTCTCCGTTTAATTAATAAATATAGCTATGCTTACAAAAAAAAGAGAAACAATATAAAGTTTATAACTGAAAAATTAATTAATTTTTTTCTAAGAAAAAAAAATTTGACACATCCCCGACCCTTCCACTTATAACGGTTTTTCATGGCCTTTGACTTTTCCCCGACAAAGTGGTCTATTTACATTTCTATCAGCAACAAAAACGGAAATTACCACTGTTTGTCCCTTCACTTCGGTCTCAATATTCGTCGGCCACCACTCTGACAGTAGCAGGTAGCCACTCTTGGGAGCTCCGGCGATCGGAGTGGCCGTCATCTTCAAGCCTAACAAGTATCAGAGATTCATGGTCATGAGTGCTTGAATTGAAGTTCTTGTTCAGGTGGTGAAATGTGGGAACCAAGGCTTTGTCCATCCATTCATCTATTGTGGTTTGGCCTAACCACACTCCACTGGTAATCTTATCAAGAGCCTCCTCTTGTACTTCAATAGAGATCCCATTCCCAACGACGGTGGAGAACCTTTTGGCGATGGATGAAGCAAAATTGCGGCGAAGAAGATCAAAATTCAAGGGCTTGAAGACAATAGCATCATCAACAGAATCCAACAGGTCGCGTGGTATTCGATCACGGAGGATGTGATTGTTGTCTTCATGGTCAACGGTGAAGTCACTGGAATTGAGCGACCCATCAGCCCTGTCATCCTCTGCGTCAGCATCAGCATCAGTAGCAGCAGCTTCATTAAGATCAAATGATAAACCTAAACCTGAATTATTAATCTCCTCCTTCCTTTGCTTCAAAGACCTGTCTTCATCGGATAACCAACTTGGTCTGCGTTTTGTTATTGCTCTCTTAGACACTGATAGACGTAGTTGCCAACCTCCTGTTGCTAAATTTGCAAGCTTATCTTCATCCAGTGGAGTGCCATTGGAGAGGTACCTAAGGTCCTCTGGCAACCAATTTGCTGTGAGGATGAACATGACATTTCCGAGGCTGATTTCTCGGCCGTGAGAATCCAGGAACCTGCCTTGATCCATGGCTCTTTTTAAGTTGCCGCGAACAAGAGCATTGGCTTCATCAATATCCTCAAGCACGATGACAGAAAGCGGATTCCTTCTTATGGCCTCTGCTATTCGATCAAGTGCTGTTTTGCCACGGAGATGATGGATATCAGAATCTCCATCCCCACAACGCCGTTGAGCAACAGGTATTATTATTGGATTGGACCCCGATACTAGCTCAGAAAGAGTTGCTGCCATTTTCTTCTTGCCAACTCTGTCAGGACCAACGAACAGTAACCACGTGTTACCCTTCGCACGTCTTTTACCATTGCCCAATTTGCATTGAGTCACCGTGGTAGCCACTGCTGATGCTGCATCCTGCTGCCACCACACCTTTTCTGTCAAACCTTTGAGGAGCTTCTTGAAAGAGTCGGCATCAAGTAGCTTCTTGCTCTTTAGTTCATCAAACTTGTCTAGTGACTCGGATGACAGACAACCCAAAAAGTCAGTCATCCGTTCTCTGTGTGTTTCTTCTGGAACTGTATCAGTTGGCTTTGTTTGCCCAAGGACTAGCTCCGTTGTTACCGGACTTTCCCGTTCCGGTGGCTGGATAGGCATTGGATTTGAGCTCAATTGCAGAGAGGTTCCAAGGTTTTTATTCATTGGTATTTTGGGTTGAAATTGGTGCCCCAGCATGCTCACACTGTATAGGCCCGCCATTGAGAAAGGAGTAGGTGCAATTCTCTCTCTGCTTCCATTTTGCTGATGAAATTTAGGATGTAAATTCAAGCAGGCATCATACCATTTCTTCTGTATTTCTTGAGTCCTCCTCTTCATATTCACTTCTTGGCTGTTACTCTATTAAAAGACAAAGCAAAGCAATAGTTAAAAGTAATATATTTTCTAGGAAGCCCACCAACTAAGCAATGTATATAGAAAGGAAAGAACAAGCAACTATGACTAGTGTGTATTTGGTTTGTTATTATCAACTCACCTGAGCTTGATCCATTACTTTGGCATTATCATTATTAGTTCTAGCACTCTGCAACCACTGCGGGAGAGGTGGTCGAGCTGCCTCTGATTTAAATTCAGTATCCGATTTCTCAGTTTCTTTTAACATATCTGCTACTTCTTGCTCGTAGTTCTGCATACATTGTGGGCAACAAGTTGATACTCCAGCAGGATCTATGTTCTCAGAGGCACGCCTTAGTGGAGTGATTGTCGTAGTTGGCAGGGTTTTTAAAGGGGACAAAGACTCAAGTGAGGTACCAAGAATGCCGTTGGTCCCAAGCCTGGTTACAAGAAAATAAAATGGTTACTCGATAATACCAAATGCTGGGGACAGAGTAACCATGTTTCAGAGCCTAATCAAGCTAATAGAGCAGAAAGGAATTTCTCCCATCTTAAAACATTGTCATGGAAACAGGAACAACACATGATTTGCTTTCAAAAAGGAATTCATGAGAGTCGTGGCAGGCTACTGGTTAACACAAAAATGAACCCAAAAAAAAAAAAAAAAAAAGGGAGAACAGAATTTACATATCAGATAAGATTCTCTAACTTCAGTCCTAATTGATACAGAGAAGAATAAATTTTAATTCCATTCCATGAAACATGAAACATTATTGTAAATTATTTTATTTGATCTTGTAACAGAACAGGTGACATAAACCAAAGTAGTGAAATTAGATTATCTCAGACAGGACTAAATTAGCAGCTTTCCTTTCAGTGATCAACAAGGTTGGCAATACTAAAAATAATATGGATCAAATTGTGAGAGAGAAGGAAAGACAAATACCTTGGAAACATTGCAGGGAGAGGAGTTCTGGTGGTAATTGGCACTGGCTGAAGATCCCAATCATTTTCCATGGAAGGATGATAAACCTGACACCTCAAGTAAGTCTCACAAGTAGCAGTGCCTAACAACCAAAGCCTGCCAACACCACACTCACCAAACTTGGCCACCAATCTACCCATCTCAGCAACCGCAGCACGCCCAACCTCGGCAAGAGTCAGTTGCTGCATGTTACCCAAACCACCAACTCCAAACCCAACAGGCTGCTCTACCAACCATTTCAAGTCACCCAAGTTGATGAAAACACCTCCACAACCCGAATTTCCCAACCGGGTCTCAATCAAATCTCCCAACTCTTTCAGCCTCGTCGGTATCTGCGCCCTATCCGAAGGAAGCTCCTTCTCCAAATGAATCACGTGAGCATTGCTAAAAGCCCCATCTCCTAATTCCTTGTTCTCAATCTTCTTCAGCACCTCTTTGATCGCAGCCTCTGGCTCCGAGTCACACACCAAGATCGGGTTCCTCTTCTTGGTCCTCAGCAATATATCCACCACCCGTTTCACTTCCTCCCCCTTCTGCTGTCCCAATTGGCCTCCACTCCCCTGCTGCAGCCTCGGGTTCAGATACAAATTCCTACCTGGTGCGGTGGCTCCGGCCACCGCACCAGGCCGGAATCCCAATCCGATGGAATTGGAATTAACGGTGGAAGGCACCGAATTCAGGGACTGTTCGATGGTGGCTTTAACGGCGGGGCTAGAAAAGCTAGCTTCTCTCATAACCCTGCTAACACTGGGGTCATCCAGAATTGATATGATTAGGTGTTCGAGCTCAACCTTCACGGCGAGGAGAGGCTGTTGCTGCTGCTCCGGGTAACCGCGGCGCTGGTGAGCTTGTGCGCGCTTCAGGGCAGCCATCAAGGCATTTGAGATTGGAGGTTCCATGGAAGGGCTCGTGTTCTGCGAAGTAGGTAATCGCTCCAGGGCAACGCTGAAACATAGCTCCAGTGCTCTGCACTGAAGAGGGTGAGAGGAGTTCGGGTGCGATTTTATGCATGCTTGCCTCAGGAAGCCAGAGGGTGAGGCCAGAAGCGTCGCCGCCACGTGGAGCGGCGTCGTTTGGCCGTGATTGCGGCGGCCAGCCTCCGCGATTGAATGGTTCAGAACACTCGCCGCCTCCGGCGTTAGGGTTTGTTGGATGGTGCTTAGCCCGGCTCTCATTTCCCGAGTGGAATTCTGCAGTGTTGTTGATGAGGCTCCAGCTCAAAAAACCCAAATCGAAAAAAACAATCTTTTCTTTTGTTCACTTTTTTTTTTTTTTTTCCTTTGAGTTAGGTTGGGTTTTTTGTTTTTCAAAGGAAACAGAAGCAGAGGTTTCAAAGTTTCAACTTCGATTTGATTTGGTTTTGTGAGATTGAATTGAATTAGAGAAGAACCAAATCCCGAATGAATCTTATCTGGGGTCTTGACTTTATGGGGAGGGAAAAAAGCAACAAATGTGTGTGAAACTTACACTTGTGTTGCAAGCCTATGAGCCCACCAGGCAGAAAACGAAATTAGTGTGTATTGGAGAAGATAAGAACACTTCAATATAGACAAATTCGCATTTTCAAGAGTGGAACAACTGTATGAGTTGGCAAAACAATCAAAACAAGCTTTTTACAAACACAAACAAAATCAAGAAAAGTAATAGCCTACCCTAGCTTGCTTTTAAGCCTTTTTAAGTTTCCTACGGGATCTATCTTCTCCTTTCTGTTTTCTTTCCTCCACCTTGCCCCCCCCCCTTCTCTTTCTCCTTTTCTCCTCCGCGTCGTGTCGCCTAAAAAGCTATGTGGAAATTCAACGCGAAATGGAAATTTCGGAGATCCCCTCCTTTACCACAAGAACATGAACATCCCCATTTTTTTTTCTCTCTCTCTATTTGTCTCTCTCCTCTATTTTGTTTCTACCTCCATCCTTACGAATAATTGGGTAAAGATAGATTGAGGGCGGTGAATATAAAGGTGCCTCCTTTTTTCAAGTATTACAGAGCGCATGAACTAAGCAAAGGTAATTTGAGCAAACAGTATCATTCTAGTTATTGGTGCCTTGCAAAGCAACAAGATAACGGAGAAATAAAAAAAAAAATAATAATTCGCTTCTTTATTGTGGCAAGAGAAAGACAGATAAGCGTAGAGAATTTCTAGTAAACGGAGAATTGATGGATGGATGAAAGTACTATCAGTTGCAAGGATTTCTGGAAAAATGCTTTGTGGACAGAGCAACCTGCTCTCCTTTTTGTGTCATCTTTACCTTTCTTTACTTTTTTTTTTTTTATTATATGTTATCATTATTTTATTTAACACTTTCCTTTTTATTTTTTTGTTGTCTTATGTTTTTTACAATTTAATTGAAAGGCTAATTTGTCTCAACTCAACAGTTTGGTTCTACCGGAGCCGTAGAAAACACTACTTTTTTTGTCTTAGGTTTGATAATATTGTATTATTTCGTTTTAAAATTATTTTTTAATATATTTAATATATATTTAAGGATAAGTAACTCAAGACATTCATCAATAAAAAATAATTTAACATGGTTTTAATAATTTAATAATATAAAACAATAATTTAAATTCATATAACAGAAAGACGTGTATGGTTAAAAGTTACTCATTGGATAGAGAAATGTAAAAACTAAAAAAAAAAGATAATGATGGGAGAGAGATACTGAGGACTAAGGTCTATGAAGTTTGGATTGACTGCCTTTTTAGTTTCTCTCTCTCGCCCTTTTTTTTTGTTTTGTTTCTAGTTTCTTAAAACTGTAATAAAAAGATTAAGGAAACATCTATCCCACGCGCTTAAAGGGAGGTTCATCCCACGACCTAAGACTATGGGACACACTCAGGGGGAGCCCCTACGCGCCTAGGAAATGTGATAGTAACTGCTGCTGTCTCACTCCTCAATTTTTCCTTTCAACCAATTTTCAGCTTTTCACACGCAACACCTACAAAAGGCATCTCACCACTTTCGCCTTTTTCATACTCAAATTACTCTCTCTCTTACTTTATCTCGAGTCCAAGGGTACGTGATCGTTTGGCAAGTTACCATTACCACATGAAAATAGGCACTCATTTGCTATGCTAATCCTTAAATAATAGACGGTATTAAACAAAACTGTCGCAGTCAGTTCATTATGTCAAAAGTTATTCTACATTTCTCTCGAGTTGGGTAACCCCTTTTTTTTTTTTTTTCGGGGCACAAAATTTTAAATTCGACATATGCTTAATTATTCAAAATATAACCAACAATAAGTATAAGGCATTTAAATGATATTAAAAAGAGTTTGGCTCTTGTCTTGAAGTTCAGATATAATAAACTATGCTTTAGAAGCGTGCTGTAGCATGACTTCATGTTTGATAAAATGAAAACGATATAAATATATTCAATCGCTTTGAAATTTACGAGCAATTGCTTACCATATATACATGCCTTTCGGTTTCAACTTGATAAGAATTAATCCCGACCCTTGCTTGGGGAGATTTGATCAATTAATGTCTAAGAAAAACAAAAGCAATTGGACCTCAGAATGATGCCAGGTGGTTGCTTGAGTTTGAGTCATTCAAAAGTAAGATGGTCTTTTTTTTTCTCTCTCTCTCTCTTTTACATTTTATTACACGTAGATGATGTATTGCAACTTAATTTCATTGATATATTAAAAAAACACTTGTCAAAATCATCTTCTGTAATCTGTGCTGAAAAGAGGAAGTGCATTAAATGCATTGAAAATGGTTGGAGCCTAACCCTCGCAGGCCACAGCCGCCCAATAATATCAAGCATTAAATTCCGGAGACAAATTCAACTTGGTTTTACATGGATCCGCCTTCATTGAATCCGAAAAATAACAATCATTTATAAAGAAGAAAACGACTTCGGTCTAACAGCTTCTTTTAATTTTTAATTTACCACATACTTAATATATGAAAAACATCCTATTTTTACCCAATGAACGTAATTCAATTGGTAACGGAGGCGAAATAGAGTGAGAAAAAAAATTTAGATTTAATTTTCACCAAATATATTTTTAAAGAAGGGTTAGATAATTAAACATTGACAATACCGAGATCAACTCATTTTAAAGAAATAATTATAACTGATATAAAAAATTTCAATTTTATGAGGAGAAAAAAAGTCAACAAAGAGAAAATTACTGTATGTACTATAATGATTGAAACTAAACCACACAACACTCTTAACTCACCATTTTCGTTAGTTAAAAAGTATAAAAATGTTTTCACCAAAAAAAAAAGTATAAAAATGTTATAGAATTTGAAATTGTTAGAATAAATTAATATTATTAACTCTTAAATAATAAATAGTTTTCATAGAACGTAGTTTTATTTATCCAACAACTAAAAATTTCAAAATATTCCAGTTTCATGTAGTCAATTTTTTTAGTCGCTTAGCATTATTTAAAAAAAAATTGTCTTGTAACAAGCTAAGCTCACACCGTATATTTGAAAAATAGGCCAAATTTATTCAAGGAAAAATCTAATATGACCTGTTTTCATGTCTAACAAAGATTTAGAAAATAATAAAATACCCTTAATTTTAGATGAAAATATGATATTAATTATTTATTTAAACTGCCCTTTCAATTCATTAATGTTCTCACTCCTTTCACTTGCGTACTTGATGTAGATACAAAGGATAAGAATAAAAAATTTAAAACAACTAAAAATTCTAAAATGGCAATCATTTAAAAAGTAATTAAATATCATACAAATTTTTATTAAATAATTCTCTTCAATTAAGTGTGCGATCATTAATTCTCTTGCCATTTCAAAATAGACTGTCAGTTTAAAATTTTTAATTTATTTCAAATTATATATCACGTTTAATAATAAAGTACTAATTAATTTTTCATTTTACACTTGTCTATTGATATATTTATTAAGTGAAATGAGAAAGAATTAATAGAATGAAAAGTGGCTTAATTAAATATAATTATTTTCTCGGAAATTATAGTTATATAATAAATTTTAATTTTTATGAAAAATTAACTTCAAATAATATTTTAAAATATAAGGACTATATTATATTAACATTACATTGATTTATATATATATATATATATATATATATATATATATATATATATATATATGGGCGAGATATTCTTACACCGATGTAAGAGTTAGAAGTCTTACACTCAATCTTGACCATTGATCCACTTGTATCTAATGGTTCACATTACTAAAAAATTTGAGCCCTTAAATATAAATGGGATCATTGGATAAGATTGAGAGTGTAATTTACACTGGTGTAAAATGATCCTGACACTATATATATATATATATATATATATATATATATATATATATATATATATTACGTACAAACTGCCTTCGTATGTCTACGGAATAAAAACACAAAGGAGTATAGTTGACCGTTCATTAAATTGATTACTTGTACAAATTAAATATACAAGATCTCGAATCAATAATTGCTCCATTAACATCCTTTAAATACAAGAATCACTTACAAGTTCAATATGAAATTAAATAGTAATAAATGGAAGGGAGGATTCCAGATAAGAAATGATAAGGAGTGCTCTAACACTAATGATAATCGTGATTATGTTAGTATGAGGAAATAAAGATATATATATTATTATAATTGACAATAATAAGAAAAAGTATAATAATAAAATAGAGCGTGTACTATCTAATGCTTTTGGGATTCCCAACTTTATATGACAGAGAGTAACTTAGCCACAGACACACCAAACAACTTTTTAAGAAAAGCTTACAGAAACCCAAAAAATAATGAATCATCATAGTTCCTTTTGGTAACGCACGCCCTCAATCCCCTCCTTTTTTTTTCTCTCTCTCTCACTCCCTTGCCTTTTTCGCGTGTTTCGAGCTCACAACTACTTCTACCTTTATACGCACCACCCACCCTCACTCCTCGCTCCCTATTTGTCTCTTTTCCACAGCCTTTGCTTCCTCCGCGGTTTATTCATGTCTCAACCTTTTGTGCCCAACCTTTTTCTTTTGAAAATGTTAAAAGAAAAATTATTTCTAATTGCCCGTGGCATTACAGCAACAGTGACTATTTTATCGGGTTCTCCAAATTATTTATCAAACCGTCACATTAATAGTAAAAAATTTCGAAATGTCACGCGACATAATTCGCTACACTGTGTAGCGAATTATGTTTGCAAATAATTCGTTACACAGTGTAGCGAAATATGCCATGTCATGTTGCACAATCAGCAGTAATGACACATGTCAAACAGACACTAATACAAGCATAATTCGCTACACAGTGTAGCGAATTACTGCCAGCTTGACACGTGTCATTTTTGCCGACTATGCAGCCTGACATGACATATTTCGCTACACTGTATAGCGCCTTATTTACAAACATAATTCGTTGCACAGTGTAATAATTATGATGCGTGGCATTTCAGAAATTTTTACTGTTAACATAACAGTCTGATAAATAATTAGAGAAAGCATAACAAAATGGTCATTGTCCACCCTCGACCTGGGGACTACACCATCAAATGACCATAACTTACTCAGTTAATTATTATTGCATCACCTATCAATTAAGAATGAAAAGTCATTATATTTGTGTTAATTTCTTTTAGCAATTGCACAAGGTTATGTTTATAATTTTATATTTTTCTAACAATATATAATATATTTAATGTAATGTGATATCTACTTAATATTACCTTACTAGTTAATTTGTTTTACAGACAAAAAGGTCAATAATTTCTTATGAATTGAATAATAGCTCGTTAAAATTTTATTTTTTGGACTTCAAATAAGTCGTACAAAATTGATAATCTTTGCCGGATTCCTCATTTTCAACTACATGGGTCGATAAAATTTGATATTATTTCTTGCAGCTAGTGACACATCCTTAATAGAACCGTCAAATTGTTTGTTGAATTACGAAAGTTAAGCAGAGATCTAATTAGGAGGACAAGGTATTTTGATAACACGATTATTATTTTCTTTCATTGTGAAAATACAATCCAACGAAACATTGGAGTACAAACAACCCTTTGATTAATAAAATATGTTTATAATATGTATGGTATAAATTTTTATTATTTAAATTTGTAAAACATTCCTTGTATAC